CCCCTTGGCACAAGCCCAAACATGGCAATCTCACAAAGAAAACTAGGGACCGTGAGCATATCGAAAGGATGCGAGGTCGCCCGGCTGCGTAGCATTTTTCCTAGAGCAATGGCAATGCCGGCCCACTCTTGGGAAGAAATATGAATCAAGTTGCTATAGTTTGCCCGCAACAACGGCATCGCATGTTGCCTCCCATTCAACCTTCGGCGTGGCATTTTTTGAGCTAGACACATTTTGGGGATGTTAATCATATCAACCGCACAAAGGGGGCTGCGACCCTTTCCCACCATGAAGGTTAGTGAAGCTTTGGAACTTACCCATGCTTGAAGTGGCAAAGGCCAGCATCAAAACCTTGGCATTGGGAGGGCTGGTGGACCTCGGAAAGAATCAGAACTCAAATTGGATAACCATTGGCGTGGCTTCCTCAAAGCTGCAAAATAAACCGCTTCCAGTTTCACGGGACGCTAAATGTGGAGTGTTTTGGTCCTTTTCCAAACTCTGTAACGCCCAAAGGAACCATGACATACCGTTTCGAATTTCCCTGGGACACATGTTGGAAGCTTGAACCATGCTTTTGGTTCCCCTGTGCAGGCCTTGCAGCGCTGAGGCAAGAACAGATTCGCGTTCTGGAAGGTGATGTCGGGTTGTCTAGCTATTAAACATATATGAATGTATAATATATATATACGATTTACATATATCTATATGTACATACATATATGTTTATAGGTTTTGTAAAACTGCACTGCCCTTCATGTTTCCTTTCAGAGGAAGGCCTTGTATGGCCATGAATTCTGATAAGGATATATAGTGACGGACATACACTTAGAAACAGTTTTGGTTTCCAAAATTTCCGACAAACACTTAGAAACGAAAAAAAAAAAAAAAAAAAAAAAAAAAAAAAAAAAAAAAAAAAAAAAAAAAAAAAACAGTAAAAATCAACACTTAGAAACGGTTCGGCCGACCAACACTTAGAAACGTTTTTTCGCCTTTGTGGCGATTCTGATGCATATTACCAGCCGTCAAACACTTAGAAACGTTTCCAAGTGTTGCCCGAGAGGTACCTGCAACTTCTAAGCATTGGTTACGTGCGTTGCCCCGAGAGAGAAAGGAGTCCACGCAAGAAAAAAAAACAGCATAACTATATATATACATGATAGACTTAAGAGATCTTCGGGCAGCCAGACAAAAAACAACCTACACATCACGAAGGAAAAATGTTTTTTGACTAAAAACAAGGATAAACAAATGACGAGATGATGAAACAATGATGAGCCAAGATGAGCACATTATGAAAATGATGACACAATGAACAATGACACACAAATGATGATTTGATGACATTTCCTTGGTTTTCAGAACTTCCCGTGGACATCATACGTTTGTCATCATGTTTTCAGAATGTCCTTGTTTCAACAGAAAACAACGATATATAAACAAAAAAACAAGAAACAACCATAAACCCGCACGACACCATGGACAATAATGAAACAAACCATAAGGATAATGGAATGGTTTCCTGGGGTTGCTGGAAGCTTGAAATCAGCTGGGGGTGAACACTTAGAAACACCTCCCCCAACCCGCCCCCCCCCCCCACAGATTCTACCAATTGGGCATGTCTGTGTGTATACATGACCAATGTATACTCCATACATGTCAGTGCGTGTGTGAGCAAGGCATGATCTACTTATACATATATATATATATAAATATATATAGACCTTCATCCTCGGGGCATAGGGTGCTTTCTTGGGGTTGCCGGAAGCTTGAAATCAGCTGGGGTGAACACTTAGAAACGCCTCCCCCAAACCCACCCACCCACCCACCCAGAGTCTACCAAGTGGACTTGTTTGTGTGTATACATGACCAATACTCCATTTAGGTCAGCACCTATGTGGGCAAGGCATGATCTACTTACACACACACACACACGTATTTATGTGTATATTTATAGACCTTCGTCCTCGGGGCATCGGTGCTTTCTTGGGGTTGCCTGAAGCTTGAAATTAGTTGGGGGTGAACACTTAGAAACGCCTCCGCCAAACCCACCCACCCCCACCCCCGCCAGAATCTACCAATTGGACTTGTTTGTGTGTATACATGACCGATACTCCATACATGTCAGCACTGTGTGAGCAAGGCATTATGTATTTACATAGACACATACTTACATATATATATATAGACATTCATCCTTGGGGCATCGGGTGCTTTCTTGGGGTTGCCGGAAGCTTGAAATCAGCTGGGGGTGAACACTTAGAAACGCCTCCCCCAAACCCACCCACCCACCCAGAGTCTACCAAGTGGACTTGTTTGTGTGTATACATGATCAATACTCCATACATGTCAGCACTGTGTGAGCAAGGCATGATCTACTTACACAAACACACACACATATTTACATATATATATATATAGACCTTCGTCCTCGGGGCATAGGGTGCTTTCTTGGGGTTGCCGGAAGCTTGAAATCAGCTGGGGGTGAACACTTAGAAACGCCTCCGCCAAACCCACCCACCCCCACCCCCGCCAGAATCTACCAATTGGACTTGTTTGTGTGTATACATGACCAATACTCCATACATGTCAGCACTGTGTGAGCAAGGCATTATGTATTTACATAGACACATACTTACATATATATATATATAGACATTCATCCTTGGGGCATCGGGTGCCTTCTTGGGGTTGCCGGAAGCTTGAAATCAGCTGGGGGTGAACACTTAGAAACGCCTCCCCCAAACCCACCCACCCCAGAGTCTACCAAGTGGACTTGTTTGTGTGTATACATGATCAATACTCCATACATGTCAGCACTGTGTGAGCAAGGCATGATCTACTTACACAAACACACACACACATATTTACATATATATATATATAGACCTTCATCCTCGGGGCATAAGGTGCTTTCTTGGGGTTGCCGGAAGCTTGAAATCAGCTGGGGGTGAACACTTAGAAACGCCTCCCCCAAACCCACCCACCCACCCACCCAGAGTCTACCAAGTGGACTTGTTTGTGTGTATACATGATCAATACTCCATACATGTCAGCACTGTGTGAGCAAGGCATGATCTACTTACACAAACACACACACACACATATTTATATATATATATAGACCTTCACCCTCGGGGCATAGGGTGCTTTCTTGGGGTTGCCGGAAGCTTGAAATCAGCTGGGGGTGAACACTTAGAAACGCCTCCCCCAAACCCACCCACCCACCCAGAGTCTACCAAGTGGACTTGTTTGTGTGTATACATGATCAATACTCCATACATGTCAGCACTGTGTGAGCAAGGCATGATCTACTTACACAAACACACACACACACATATTTACATGTATATATATATATATAGACATTCATCCTTGGGGCATCGGGTGTTTTCTTGGGGTTGCCGGAAGCTTGAAATCAGCTGGGGGTGAACACTTAGAAACGCCCCCCCCCCCCACCCCACCCGCCCCAGATTCGACCAACGGGGCTTGTCTGTGTATGTACATGACCAATATATATATATATACTACATATATGTCAGTGCATGTGTGAGGCATGATTTATTTACATACACATATACTTACACATGTATATATATATATATATAGACCGTCATCCTTGGGGCATCGGTGCTTTCTTGGGGTTGCCGGAAGCTTGAAATCAGCTGGGGGTGAACACTTAGAAACGCCTCCGCCAAACCCACCCCCCCCAGAGTCTACCAATTGGACTTGTTTGCACACATACACATATATATATATATATACATCCAGACCTTCCTCCTGGCGGCATGGGTGCTTTCTCCGGGTTGCCGGAAGCTTGAAATCAGCTGGGGGTGAGCACTTAGAAATGCCTCCCCCTGACGCTAACAAATACCAAACAATTACCAATTCAACTTGTCTATGTGTATGCATGAGCATTGCTATATACATCTTTGTCAGCACGTGTGTGCAAGGCATGCTCAAATGACTGCAAGCTCAAATGACTTCCATAATATGTATATATATATATATAATCAACAACTGCATCCGAGTTGCCAAAGTGCGGATTTCCATACAGATACATATTACATAGCTGTATGCGGATTGCGACTCCCGGCAGCACATACTCGTGGAATCTGGCCTGGCGGATGAGGCGGTCAGGAGTTGCAGCTGTGGATGCATTCATTGTCGGAGGAAGTCTGGGCAACCACCCTCCCATGGGAGAGTAATTCAAAACGAGGAGAAAAACCATCTGGTGCAGCATTGAAATGCTACCATGTGTATATATATATATGTACTTTTCTCTTGTGTTTATATTACCATGACCCGGCACTCCGGGTCATGGCCCAGGCACTTCCACGAATTGTAGCCCAGCACCTGGCTGTCGAACATCATATACGTGAGGTTGTGATTTCAAGTATTTAGTTATCTATATGTATGGAAACACTTGCATCCAAGGTTTGGGTCACAATGCGGCGCAGCGACCAGCTTTTTTTTACCCTGGTTTCGCCCCTTGCTCCCACACATGAGTTTGTGCATTGCCAATACGGACTCTGAATTATGAAACTCCAGGTTCACACGTGACTCCACGTCACGCGTTGGCTCACACGCACGAGGATGCAACATAGTGATGCACCTCTTTCCAAGCACGCGTGCGTGTTTCCATGCAAGAACACAAGCTTGTTGCTTGTCATTCCACATCAGTCAGCCATCATTGATGGCGTCCGGATGTATGCAAACCCACTCCCCACAGGTTGACATGTGATGATGCGTCAAGAGAAGCATGCCACACCGCACTTATAACGAGTCATGGTACATACAAAGGCATGTGGATATATATATATATATACATATGTATTAAAAAAATGTAGGTATATATATATATGTAGGCACCTGATCACAGAACATCCGCTGCAAGGGCATGCACGACCTTGTCCAGCTGTTTCCGCCAGACAGCGTCCTTCCGATGCGCTGCCACATGCGCTTGCAACACAGCCCTGATCGCAACTAGGCAGGCTTCTTTCTCAGACCTGCGTGTCAATCCACCCCATTTGGCCGACATGCCGGTGGTGCACCCTGGATAGAAGCCCTGCCACTGACAGGAGGTTGCATGGCACGACACAAAGCAACCTTGAACGTGCCTTGGAAGGTCGGTTAGGCCCTTGTGCTCTAGCGCGACCCAGGATTCCCTAGTGTGGAAGCTTTTGACCCTCGTTGCATGGCTCAGGCCAAGTGCTTCCAGGTCGTCATCGCTGTCTGCCAAGACGTCGACACCGGCCTCCTCCTCAATTGCATCAGCCGGGTTGTTGAACTGGTGCATCTGATCCGCATAGTCGCGGATCTGGTCTTCACCCAGCGGCTCCCCCTCGTTCTCCACGTCGCCATCTGATTGGTCATCGGGAACGATATCTCCAGGAACCGGCCTGTCCAACTCGGAAGGAATCAACGCGGCGGCATCCATAGTGCCGGCCTTGAGCAGCACGAGCCTGTGTGCAGTTCCCCTCACCGGTGCAAGTGTCAGCTTGGTGGCATCATCGCTCAGGTTGAGCTCCAAGGCAAAACACTCCTTGTTGACTTGCTTTGCGTCGCAGATCAGGCGTTTCCGTCGCTTGCAGAAAATCAGCTTCTCCTGCGCGCTTGCTAGAAAAACGGTGTGCCTGACCTGCTGGGTGTTGGTAAGCGGCTTGCCCATCTCAGCACGCTTGCGGATGGCCCCCTCCCAGCTGGCATGCTCTTGGGCAAACTTGCACACCCTCATCCCCAGAATCTTGCCAACGTATTCCGGGAGCAAGCGACGGCTGCTGACGTCCTCGTTCAGCTGGATGGCCCACTGGTACGAGGTCTCACCATCAATCTGATGCATGCGCATGTGCTCCATCTCCCCATCTTCCTCGCCGGCAAACTCAGGAAGCTCGGTGAGGTGGCATAGTCGTGTCATGGAGTCACGGCTCCGCTGAAGCTGAGCGATCACACTCTGTTGATTTCCTTGGGCAACAAGCGTGACCGGGAACCCTGGAATGAAGGCATCCGAGTTTGTAATCAGCTGGGGGGTGAACACTTAGAAACAAACCCTTCTATGAACTTTCACAAAATGTAGCACATGGGTATATATATATATATATATTTATATCAGGTGGAGCTGAGCATCCGTCAAAGAGCCACCGTGCGATGTCCAGCTGGGATGTATACCCGCGCTGGTGCCAAGCAAGCCACACGAGCTTGTTATGCCTCATCGTGTCGGTACAAAAGCGGATTCACGCTCAACTCTGTTTGCGTATGCAAATTCACACAGATATATATATATATATATACAGTTGATATATATATATATATATACAAAATATGTATTTGCATCTATATATATATATGTGTGTCAGTGGGTCACGCCGCTCAAATGCCACTCAAAGCCACTCTGGGCTTGCAAGCTGTGCCAAAGCCCAAGCATCCGCACGCATGGAAATCTCCACCGGGCACCTTGGCTCGGGTGTGCGTACTGAAGCAAACAATCCAACCCAGCAATACAGAAACAAAATGCAACTCCAAATGCTAAATCAAACGCAACATCAAATCCAGTGAATCTCAAGCCGGATGGAAACTCAAATCCAGCAAAAAGGGAACCAACTTGATTATATATATATATACCCAATTCCAGCCAAACCAGTTCAAAAAAAGGCAGTTCTGCATTTAATCAGAATTCTTGGAGGTCTAGTGTGTGGGGGTGCGGTTGAGTCACTTGGTAGACGGCACAGCCTGCACGCTCATCTGGAGCTCGTCCAACCGTTTGCGGATCATTGGGGCCGAGCCCCATCCCACTGCACACCGCAGGTAGCCTTGTGTGAGTGAATGCAGAGCTTGATGCCAGCCGTCATTTGGTCCCCCTGCCGCACCAAACCCGCCCGGCACGGGCACTTCGGACCATGACCCCATGAGCTCCTTAGTCAATAAACCGGCTAAATAACTACATACGAATAAAAAACAAGATTGCGTGTGCACAGCATTAACGTGTGTACATATATATTTATGCATATATACATATGTCGTTTTCACAACAAAACACAACTAAATACATATATATATATATATACATATTTTGCGTTTGAGTGTTGAGCTTCGATGTTGTGACGCTCACACCACTGCATTTGGAGCTTTCGATAGGTCTTCGAAATGTGCGCCCCAGCTTGGTCCATCATGACCAACGCCTTGTCACGCGCGGTTAGGCCCAGCTGCCTCCTGCGACTGCGCACCTCTTCAGCCAGGAAGTCAAGGTAATACATGAATGTCGTCTCCGACCACATGTGCGAGCCAGGTTGCACGTCCGCAACGTAGATGTATTTGCTCAGCTCCTTGTTCACCCTGGCCCGGACTGCCTCAGATACCGTGCCCGCGCTCACGGTGACATAGGACGCCCCACGTAGCCGTCATGTGCGGGGAACACGCCAGGTTGCACGTCCGCAACGTAGATGTATTTGCTCAGCTCCTTGTTCACCCTGGCCCGGACTGCCTCAGATACCGTGCCCGCGCTCACGGTGACATAGGCACGCCCCACGTAGCCGTCGATGAAGGAGAGTGTAGTGACTGTGCGGGGAACACGCCACTCATCTACCGTTCCTCTGGCTGCGGCCAAGCCAGTGACTTGCGGCACGCTGGCAGTGGTCTTGACTTGTGGTGCTGATGGGTCATCTTCTGTGAGTGGAAGGTCCAACGATCTTTCCAGGTTGTGCCTAACCTTGCGCATGTAGAGGCTTCGAGTCAGGGGGTCATTCTCACGGTTCCTCCATGAAGCAGGCTTCTGCAGGGTCTTCTTTTGTGGTCTGTAATTCGTCGACCAGACCTGATCAAAATTTGCAATTAGCCGTTCATGGACTCCCCGCTCACGTGCTGTGTGTCGCACATAAATCCTCACCTTCTCCAATGCTGGATGGTCATACTCAAGATGTGCACCTGGCTTTTCGTTGCTTCGTGGCTTGATGCCGAACTGATTGCACAAGCGCTGGGCTCGTTTCTTCACCGATGCATCTCCTGGGCATATGCAAATCGGCTTCAGCATCTGCATGGCAGCATCCGTCATGGAATTGATAGCTTTGTCCACATCATCCTCACTGAGGTTGGCAAAGTTTGCATCTTGCTGTTGCAGCATCTCCAGGCTCTTCTCATAGAACAAATTCTGCATGGTGCCTACAGATTCGTTCCAGAGGTCGATGGCAAAGGACATTGTGTTGGCCACAAACTGCATGGTGACCTCCTCACCAAGCACGATGCGCTCCATCACCATATCTTCAATGCAAACCTGCAGCGGGTACGGGATATGCACGCTGTCCGCCTTCTGGGTGTAGCCCCACTCATTCTTTAAGTGCGACATGTTCAGGATGCGCCGCACGCTGTTTGGCAACTCCTTGAACCGCTTGCAGATCGCAGGAACCGTTTTGCACAAGAGCGTCCAGTTCTGCTCTTTCCGCGCCTTGCCCCACTTGGAGCCACAGAAGCAGCCACGGAAGTATCCCGTCAACTTGAGGCCCTCCATGTGGGCACACATCTTTTTCACGCCCTTCTTCACGGCAGCCTCGTGCGCTTGGCAAATCATCTCTTTATCCCAAATTGAGGCCATCGCGTGCTTGCCCTTGCCGTAGGTGTCTCTCTCGGTATCTTCCTTGGAGGGATCATGTTTCTTCTTCTTCTTGTTGGCCAGTTGTCGCACCTTCGCAGCAACTGGAGCAAAGGCCAGGCTCGAGGGCGTTTTCTGGCGCAACCGCCGGGGTGGCACACGATCACTGAAAGCCATGGGTGGAGAACCGCCTGTGTCGCTTGCATCACGCCGCCAAGCATCGCAAGCGATGAGAGCTGCCAGAGTTACGGCCTGTACAGTGCAAGTTCCCGTGAATGAATTGCCATGATAAAATTTCGACCGGTTTCAGGTACCTGCCCAACCAAGCCGAATAAATTGGATGCATTGGCGTGACGCATGTTGCAGCATTCAGGTTGCATTCTGGATTCCTAGATGATGAGGTTGACATATCCACAAAAACATTGGATCCAGGAGCCACACCAAAATGATCCAGCGCAGATTCCAGCAACTGCTTCTCACGGCTGTTTCGAACTTCTTCCTTCTGTGCCTTACCAAAGCATTGTTCCATGGTGAGGTGGACATCGCTTTGCAGGCTGCGAACGGTGGACAAGAATACCTGGCTGAAACCATCTGAGGCGGACCCAGTGTTCAACTGAGCGCAGCCGTAGACGCGGTTCCGTCGTTGGCGGACAAGGTACTTTTGGCTGTCCACGACTGTCCATGCCTGGGCACAGAAGGATGTGCTTTGTGGGTTTGAAACAAAGGGAAGCCAACAACCCTCTTGCTAATTTACTTCCCTACACACAAATATATATATATATATATACATAGAGAGAAAAACATATTAAGTGCTGAGCTGAGATGCAAAGTCATAGCCAAGGGACGCCGTGTCCGTCTCCACCGTGTTGATGGCAGGCGGATGCTTTTCTCCATTAGGCCCGGAAGTCCAGTCGCACGCCGCCTTCACGTTCTCGTACACAGAGATGGTTGGGTTCAGCAAGCGCATCGCCTAGAAGCGTTTTATAAAAATACATATGTGTGTATCCGTGGAAAGGCTACAAGTGAATATATACGCGTACACACATATATATATATATACACGTCGCTGACTACAAAGGCATATATTTATGTATATGTATATACATGCTGAAGCAAGCGCTCAACAGCATACATACATACATACATGTATATATATGTATATGTTTCGCGCCATGGCACTGCAACGAACCCGTTCTTGTATGTAGGGCCGGATGTCCCTGTAGTATCGCTTTTGGCGGTGTAGCAGCCTGCGTGCTGCTTTCGTTTGCGGTTCAACTTGCTGATGTCCTTGCATGAAGGCCCACAGAAATGGAAGTCCACCGCGTGCGACTCCACGGACAGATCATGCTTCTTCTTGCAGATGAAACAAAAGCCGGAACCTTCCTCGAAGCACGCGACGTCAGGCGTACATGTGCTTCACGCCCTTGAAGGCAGCCAGCAAGTAGTTCCGCTTGTCCTCGTCTAGCTCCACCGAGTAGACATGCGTGAGACGGATGTTGACCTAGGTAAATACACAGTATACTGCATGTTACAAACGAAACTGAATATATACATAGATATGTATATATAGATATGTATATATATATATATATGTGTGTGCCCTATGGAAGACCTCGCAGCTTGAAATCAGCTCAGTTTGAACACTTAGAACTGCCTCCCCCAAACCCAGCCTCCCCCAAACCCACCCCCCCCAGAGTCTACCAATTGGACTTGCTTGTGTGTATACATGACCAATACTCCATACATGTCAGCACTGTGTGAGCAAGGCATGATCTACACACACACACACGCGCACATATGTATACATATATAGACCTTCATCCTTGGGGCATCGGGTGTTTTCTTGGGGTTGCCGGAAGCTTGAAATCAGCTGGGGGTGAACACTTAGAAACGCCTCCCCCAAACCCACCCCAGAGTATACCAATTGGACTTGTTTGTGTGTATACATGACCAATACTCCATACATGTCAGCACTGTATGAGCAAGGCATGATCTACTTACACAAACACACACACACACACACATATTCACATATATATATATATATATAGACATTCATTCTTGGGGCATCGGGTGTTGTCTTGGGGTTGCCGGAAGCTTGAAATCAGCTGGGGGTGAACACTTAGAAACGCCTCCCCCAAACCCCCCCCCCCCCCTGCCAGAGTCTACCAATTGGACTCGTTTGTGTGTATACATGGTCCATACTCCATACATGTCAGCACTGTGTGAGCAAGGCATGATATACTTACACAAACACACACATACATATTTACATATACATATATATATATATATATACATAGACATTCATCCTTGGGGCATGGGGTGTTTTCTTGGGGTTGCCGGAAGCTTGAAATCAGCTGGGGGTGAACACTTAGAAACGCCTCCCCCAAACCCACCCCCCCAGAGTCTACCAATTGGACTTGCTTGTGTGAATACATGACCAATACTCCATACATGTCAGCACTGTGTGAGCAAGGCATGATCTACACACACACACACGCACACATATGTATACATATATAGACATTCATCCTTGGGGCATCGGGTGGTTTCTTGGGGTTGCCGGAAGCTTGAAATCAGCTGGGGGTGAACACTTAGAAACGCCTCCCCCAACCCCCCCCCCAGAGTATACCAATTGGACTTGTTTGTGTGTATACATGACCAATACTCCATACATGTCAGCACTGTATGAGCAAGGCATGATCTACTTACACAAACACACACACACACATATATATTTACATATATATATATATAGACATTCATCCTTGGGGCATCGGGTGTTTTCTTGGGGTTGCCGGAAGCTTGAAATCAGCTGGGGGTGAACACTTAGAAACGCCTCCCCCAAACCCACCCCCCCAGAGTCTACGAATTGGACTTGCTTGTGTGTATACATGACCAATACTCCATACATGTCAGCACTGTGTGAGCAAGGCATGATCTACACACGCACACACACGCACACATATGTATACATATATAGACCTTCATCCTTGGGGCATCGGGTGTTTTCTTGGGGTTGACGGAAGCTTGAAATCAGCTGGGGGTGAACACTTAGAAACGCCTCCCCCCAACCCACCCCAGAGTATACCAATTGGACTTGCTTGTGTGTATACATGACCAATACTCCATACATGTCAGCACTGTATGAGCAAGGCATGATCTACTTACACAAACACACACATATTCACATATATATATATATAGACATTCATCCTGGGAGCGTCGGTGCTTTCTTGGGGTTGCCGGAGGCTTGAAATCAGCTGGGGGGTGAACACTTAGAAACTCCTTTCCAGAGTCTACCAATTGGACTTGTTGGACTTGTTTGTGTGTATACATGACCAATACTCCATACATGTCAGCACTGGGTGAGCAAGGCATGATCTACTTACACAAACACACACATACATATTTACATATATATATACATAGACATTCATCCTTGGGGGCATGGGGTGTTTTCTTGGGGTTGCCGGAAGCTTGAAATCAGCTGGGGGTGAACACTTAGAAACGCCTCCCCCCAAACCCACCCACCCCCAAACCCCCCCCCCCCCCCCCAGAGTCTACCAATTGGACTTGTTTGTGTCTCTGTATACATGACCAATATATACATGTCAGCACTGTGTGAGCACGGCATGATCTACTTGCACAAACACACAAACATATAGTTTTATGTATATATAGACCTTCATCCTTGGGGCATGGGGTGTTTTCTTGGGGTTGCTGGAAGCTTGAAATCAGCTGGGCGGTGAACACTTAGAAACGCCCCCAGATTCTGCCAATTGGACTTGCTTGTACATGTATATATATATATGTATATAAATGCAACACACACACACACACACGCACGCAGTCAGGTGGGGGGTGACAACACTTAGAAACAACCCCAGAGGTTGTTTTTGCACACTTAAAACCACATATGTACTAAACATATATATATATACACAATCATGTGCAGCCACAGTGGCACTGAATGTGATGTTCAAAGCTCGGAGCAAGGCCCGCATCGCCACAATGCAAATATCTGAGCCAGAACATGCAGAGCCCACTCTCACGTGTCTTCCATTGAGTGCGTTTGCTGTAGCTTCCAAGAGCTTGCGCTCGGACGGACGGTAGGAGTTGGATGAAAAACTCAGCTGTGTGCACCAATGAGGCTTTCGTTGGCGGGCTTGCCACAAGACCGGCCCGCAGTATGCCACGTTTGCACACAAAATGCCGGTTCCTGAATTTGGGGCTGGTGAGTCTCACGCACGTAGGTGAATCAATGAGCTCCATGACGGAGAATGTCCAGGCCCATACCACCTTGTCGTTCGTCAGCCTGGTCTGCCATTGCTCCAGCTCAGACCTGGTGTGTAAGCTACCTTGTAAGCAGCTAAGATCCTTGCACAAGCGCAGTTGCTCGATCTTTGTCACTTTCAAGCGCCCAACCAGAATTGTCTGCGATGCGTGATCAGTGCGAATCATGACGTGAAACTCCATCGGCACCACCTTCAAATTGTAGACCTGCAACAATTTAAAATCGACTTCCACACCTGTTTGGTACCGCTGTCTCAATGAGTCGAACTGATGTTCCTGCAGCATCATGCATGCCACATCATCACTATCGTCCCCTTCATCAGTGGTGGTGGGAACCAGTTCTCCTGTGCGGCTTGGCTGGTCTGGTGGCTTGGGCTGCTCATGCTCTGCATCATCATCACCATCGTCCCCTTCATCAGTGGTGGTGGGAACCAGTTCTCCTGTGCGGCTGGGCTGGTCTGGTGGCTTGGGCTGCTCATGCTCTGCATCATCATCAGCATCGTCCCCTTCATCAGTGGTGGTGGGAACCAGTTCTCCTGTGCAGCTAGGGTGATGCTCCGCGTGGTGGTCATCATCGTCTTCATGACTGGCGGTTGTGCGCCTACGCTTGCCTAGTGGCT